TGCTTGGACAAGCCTCATGAACCAGGACGTTGCCAAGAGGTTGCTTCCAGTTTTCTGTGATGCCCCTTGCCATAAAGACAAGTGCAGCTGTGGCAACTCGGTTTGTTCTCTGTTCATCTCCAAAGTGTTTATCGATGTTCAGTGTTTATCGATGTTCAGTTAATATGTGTATTATAATTGATATGTACCTTAACCAAATGCATCATGATTATTACTTTCTCTGATATCATCAAAACTCTCTTGGTCAGGGTCTTGTTCAAGGCTGGTCTTGGTCTTGGTCCGGGTCTTGGTCAAGGCCTTTGTCAGGGTCTTGTTTAAGGCCTGGGTCAGGGTCTTGGTCGGGGTCTTGGTCGGGGTCTTGGTCAGGGTCTTGATTCTGCAAAGAATCTATTATAATAAATGTCAGTCAGTAAAACTACACAGAGGGCCCACTATGACTGGCTTTTAGATTAATTGATTTATCTATTAAAGACCATGTTACACAGTGCAATTTTTCTTGCAACTTGCAATGCGATTCTATTCTTAAGAGATGTAAATCAGTGCAGAGTATTCAAAATGTAAGTTTAAGAAACGTACATGGAGTGTAATAAACATAAAAGTTTCATAGTGGCCAAATTTACGTCTCTGAAAAGTAGAATTGCATTGCAAGTTGCAAGAAAAGTTGCACCGTGTAACAGGACCTTTAATATTTGTAAATTTCAATTACAAACAATAGGGAAAACAGTAGGGAAAATGTTTTGGTAGAAACATCTTACCACAAACTAAAGATCATATTCTTCCTCTCTGATCTTACCTCCCAATTTGACATTTGATGGTATAGTATGGTGATTATGTATATTCTCGGGTGGAGGCTGAAAGTTCTTGCTGAAACTGGCGTGCTGATGTCGCCTTTAAAGTCGTTAGAACAATTTAAGGTGTCATAATATTTTTAAGAACTCAGAATGTAAACAGAAAAAAATGTCGCAAGTTGTGTTTTTGTAGCGTTATTTTAAATACCTTTCTGTAATGAAATTTCACGCCTAACTCGTGTGATTTTAATAACTTTTCTTTTCTTGCCTAAATTTTTGTGATTTAGAGATAACTTTTGTTAATACATTGCATGTAAAAATATGGTTTATATTGACATATTGTATTTGTAAATAAACCGTTTTCCTACTAGATATGGCGTCTTTTGTCGCTTCCCGTATTAAGAGTTTCCTTTTCATACCAATTCGTGGCGGCGGGTTTGGGACAGCAAACAAGGTCAGGATAGCGACGGTGGTCAATCTTTTTTATTTCGTCCTCGAAATGAGCGGCTCATACTTTTATGTTATTGTATAAATAGTCGACATCTTTTTCTACCAAGTCATTTCGTCTTGTATCAAAGGTTTTTGTACACGCAATGCAAAACGATTGCTAGGCTACATCTGGCCACATTTACCATTTACTATACGCAATGTTTGACAAAGTTCTAGAGTATAATAAAAGTAAAAAACATTTTATTCCCTTTAGTTTTATAAATTCATCATTTTTATGACACATTTTTTTTGGCCTTGGGCATAAAGGTTTAAGGGATGTGAGGGTTATCATTA